GCGTACTGTGTAACTAGTATCCTTCCAAATAAAAAAATCCAATTCCATGCATTCTCTGATTTATTGTGGTGTTGTTTTTCTGATCCATGTATCAAACATCTCCTTGCATTCATAGATCTATAAATAAAAAAAATAATGCCGGGAAAATGTGTAACGGCGTAACTTGAATGTCCGGTATGCGTAACATACAAGAATATTTCACTTCTAATCAGCAGAATTTTGGGCCTTGAGCCTGGATTAATTTTTGTTTTTTACAACAACAAAAAAATAATCAAGACTGCATGTACACTTGGTGCCGAAGAAAAATAACGTAAATACATTTTTTAATAATAACGTTGTGTCTTAAAATGTAGTACAGATTATGAAAGATATTTTCTTAATCCATAGGGGGTGAGGCCGAAGGCCGAATCTCCTATGGATTTTATTCACCCTCTATGGTCCGTAGGGGGTCAGTAGTGAACCGTATAACGAATTTAACGCACGCGGGACTTTTTCTGCTGCGTTTTGTAGAAAAATAAACAATGATAACAACAGTAGACGTGACGTCATGCACCCCCTATGAGATTTACTAACCCCCTACGGACCCATAGGGTGTCACCACGTGACGGCGTTAAACCAGTCTACGTGATAATATACCCGCGGTGCGATAAATAAAATCCATAGGTGATTCGGCCTTGTGCTTCACCCCCTATGGATTTTATTAACCCTCTATATGGACCCGTAAGGGGTCAGTAGCGAACCATATAACTTATAATATTGTCAGAGTTTGCAGGGTAACACCATAGATATAATAGCCATAGATAAAGTACTGGACCCACATCAAAAGCAGATGATATTTGCCGAAATTTTATCACCCTCTTATTATATACATGTCACGCTTGGTGTTAATTAGCCTTCATTGGCAATTGCCGTCGATCGATTTCTAATAAATTGTGAATCGGGAGACTTTTAAACACACGAATGTGCTACGTAATGACTTTTAACCATAATAAAAAAACGACTTTTTTTTTTAACTCTGCCAGGTCCAAAGCTCGGATAAAATAGAGGGGAAGTCATGAGAAGTAAATATTGTAAAAGCGCAAATGTCCTTTATAAAAAGCGCAAATGTCCTTATATCAAAAGCACAAACGTCCTATATAAAAGCGCAAACGTCCCACGCCGGAAGGGATATATAGCTGTCATTTATAGTACGAATCACACCTCTAACACAATTGTAAGAAGGAAGGGGAAAAACCATGAATGACACAGGACAAAACTCCTATATTTTCATTTTATCATAGCCATTATAACGCTTAATCTATATATTTTTTACTTCAAAAATGAAATCGACAATCAGATTATACCACCATCTATTTAATAGCAAAACAAGCACAAAAATGGTAAGCGGAAAGGTATATAGAAGAAAAAATTCAGAAACATGATTGTGCTATTTCCCAATTATTTAATGTATTCAGTGTGTCCACTACATACGTTTTCTTCACCAAACGGCGTTTAATAAGTTTATAATGTATTCCTTTTTTCTCTTTATTTTCTAAAACTTCGTGTTAGGACAGAAAGTTTCAACACTTTTTTGGGGAGATATATGTAAGTTCATATCTAAATGAGCTTAGGAAGACGAGTGCCCGATAATTTAAATATAATTATGATAAGTAATTAGTCTATTGGGAGGATGTCGGCAAATATCATCTACATCATAGGCCACTACGCGCAGTGCCGTGCTTTTGATATTTCAAAGGGAACTACATGGGGCTCAGTGTGACAAATTCTGAGTACTTTATCTATGGCTATTACATCTATGGTAACACTATATATATAAGTAGAGGAACACACCTTTGGAGATCCTTTTTTTTGTTCCAGAGACTATGTGTTCTGAAAATTTCGAAACAAGTCTATATATATAATAAAATATTATTGTACCCATGTTTTCAGTTATTATTGACCATTCGTCACAACTCGACCGACTCCGTACCTCCTGGAGAGAAACAGAGTCACCCGAGGTTAGCTGATGGTGTTATTGACTTTACAGAGAAGATCGAGCTGTTTCGACGATCGAGAGAGATATATATAGTGCAGCTATTTTTACACAAAAAATCTGGCTAAAACCGTTAAATTCTTTGAAATATTTACATCTGAATTTACATCTGTTTGAAAATAAATGATTAATTTCATGCATTTAAATCGTGTTATCATCGCTAAGGCAACAGAACATTGAAGACAGATTTTGACAGTTTGACAAGTCCAGTAATCACGTGAAACGAATGCACGTATCATGTGATGCTATTCAGTTGTTAACCCATCTGTAGAACAAAATAGAAATCGAACTATCTGTTTTATTGTTTTTTAAACGTAAAATGGACATAGGTGCTTGATGACAGGATCCTGTGTTGAGCCCCCATATTTTTACTCTAAATATACATGTTTACTATCAATGTGCCACTCGACTAAATATACATGTTACTATCAATGTGCCACTCGAGTGGCACATTGATAGTAAACATGTATATTTAGAGTAAAAATATGGTATATTGGTTTACATATTGTACAAATAAATGATATATATATATGTTGTGTACAAGATGTAAGTTTGTACAAATTATAATTTGTACATGGTTTTTGTACAAGTTATAAGTTTTTTGACACATACCTTCTTGCACCAGGTGATAAAAGTTTATCTTCTAAAATGTATCAGTTTAATGTCTTAAATTCAAATTTATATACTTCAACCTAACATTTAGTGCTATTCTCTTTGTCCTCAAACTGGAAATGAGGATACCTGAATGGTTTATATTCTAATTTTATTTTTCTCCTTATACCAAAATCATATCCATAAAAAGTCTTTTTGTGTTCTTATAATGTTTTTGTATCAATGCTCAGTATTAGATTGTATCATTTAGCTGTGGAAATATGACAGAAATATGAGAAACAAAAGACTGTGTGCTTGCATCATCCATTTGTGTTAAGCAGTTCATAAAAGACTGATAACTTGTACAAAAAATCTGTACAAATTATAATTTGTACTACATTACAACTTGTACACAACATATATATTAGAAAATCGGGGATTTATGATAATAAAGGGGGAGGGACTATGGGGCTCAACATTAGGTCCTGTCCTCAATCCTCTCAAAAGGTTAAACAAATGTGTGACTATGTAAAAATTCTACAACATTCAGATGACGTTCGTACTATGACATGTATGACTTGATTATATTTGCGTTCCATTGGCAATCATACCACATCTCCTTATTTTATAAAAATAGAATTTTAATCGCCAAAAAAATACTGAATTTCTGTTAACTTTGATTCATCCGGATGTGTGTGTGTGTGTTTCTCTCCAAATATTGCAGTGCATTAAAAATTGTCACGATTGAAATTTGTTTTTTAAAATTAACGCGTTTAACTGGCGGCAACATTTTAACCAGACAGCTGTAGAGAACCACAGTTAATTCATTAGTAGTGCAAAGTGCACAGGTAATTCATTAGTAGTGCAAAGTGCACACTAACAATAGTAGTGTCGTGCATTTTGTAAAGAATTTTCCGTCTCAAGTTCTAATCTTTAATTACTAGCGTTGCTTTGAGGTGAAATGGGGTCTAAGTTCACGAATCAGCAACTGAATGACAAAACATATATTTTCAATTAGGAAATTAACAATGATGCGCCTTTATTCGCTGAATATGTTTATGTTTGTTTATTCCACATTGGCTATAGGTATTAGGGGTGGGGGTTGAGATCACACAAAACATGTTTAACCCCGCCGCAATTTTATGCCTGTTCCAAGCCAGAACATCTAGCATTGTTAGTCTTGTATTTTTAAAAAAAAATTTGGTTCAGTTGTATGTTTTGGAGTTTAATGTGGCTTCCATTTGGCTGAACTAGTACACATTATTGTTTAGGGGTCAGCTGCAGCCCGCCACCGGGATTTTCTCGCTGCGTTGAAGACCCATTGGTGGCCTTTGCTGTTTTCTGCTCTTTGGTCGGGTTGTTGTCTCTTTGATGACCCATTTCCCGTTTCCATTCTCTATTCTATTAAAGACAAGAATTACAAATTAATCTTGCAACTTAGAATATCGGCAGACAAATCAAAATTATGTTTCGGCCATGGAAGTAATCATAAAATGAGCAGTAGAAACTAAATGTGGTATTATCCTCTGACATTTAAGATCACCAATTTTACTTTTTCATAGAGAAAAGATATCGAACTTGCCTTAATAAGATGAACGTGGAGCTAAAATCTCTAAGGAGAACACTAACCAGACAACGAATAAAGAGAGGACTACCAAAGAAACTGAAACAACAAAAAGGTTTTCCAATAAAAACTGCAATTATGATTGATCAGACTTTAATGAAGCTTGAAGATATGTTTGTTTTAGCGATCGGAGATAATTTAACTCTGTCTTGTGACACTCCCGAATTGAAGGCGATCAAGAAGACATTTCCAAACTCAACACATCAGTGGATTTTCAATAATGTTAATCTTGAAATTGATAAGAAACGAATGAAACTTAAAGGACTCTATTTCGAAATATCATATTTTAATGCAACTGACCAAGGACTGTATGCCTGTCGAATACATTATGCACCTAAACAAAGAAAGACCATTTATTTTGCAACTTTGATATCTAAGAAGGTTGGTATACCAGTTCAGGTCATGGAGACAAAAACTTTAAAACTCCATTGCCCAAGTTCTCCAATCGGTCGACTATTTCGGAAATCTTTCCGCAATTGGTGGGTGAATGGAAAAGTGATACAAGGCTATACCAGTATTCCAGCAAAGCGTAGAGCATTTGAAAGTTTTTACAATGTCTCTTCTCTAAAATATGAAGGATCTTGGGTATGTCAGGTGACAGACCCGGCTACTGACAGACAGTGGGATCTTATTCGGTACCATGTAAGTGTTACGGCTCTGCCTCTACATGAAAGTAAAGCTCATAAATTTGTAATGGATCATCCTGTATTGATAGCTACACAGTCTCTTAGCGTTCTACTTTTTTTGGTGGCCATGTATATTTATTGTGTTCATGAGCCAAAGCAAACTAAGAAGACTAGCAAAGATGAAGTGTTGGATGAAAACTCTAGCGACCTAGGATCAGCCGATGAAGGGGATGGAAATGATAATGCGGAGGAAAGGTACGGGGATAACACATCTCTTTACGAAGAGAAAAGCAAAATAGATAGAACACCCTTCCATGCAGAAAGGTATGGGGATAACACATCTCTTTACGAAGAGGAAGGCAAAGTAGATAGAACACCCTTCCACGCAGAAAGGTATGGGGATAACACATCTCTTTACGAAGAGGAAGGCAAAGGAGATAGAACACCCTTCCATGAAGAAATGTATGGGGATAACACATCTCTTTACGAAGAGGAAGGTAAAGGAATGAATTTTGGTGAACAAGACTTTATCAGTTATTATAGTGACGAAGATTTTGGAGATAGAACACCCTTCCATGAAGAAAGGTATGGGGATATCACACCTGTTTACGAAGAAGAAGACGGAGAGAGGAATTTCGGTGAATATAACTTTAACAATTTTTATGAGGACGAAGATTTTGGAGATGATACATCGTTCCATGATGACAACAATAACATCCGCATCGAAGAAATGTGGAAAGAAGGAAATAAAGAAGTAGATTATGTCGAATCAGCAGACATATATTCCAGTAACCGAACCGCCACCCCAAAATGGAAATTCTTTTAACTGTTTAGTGCTTCGTGTCAAGCCAATAGGACTGGTATGCATATTGCTCATCCTACACTGCTACAAAACATACACTGCTACACCTAGCTATAGGTTTGTTAAATCCTCTAATCAAGCTTTACGTCGTAATTGCGTAGAACAGACATTTAAAAGTCGCTGTTAAATTTCCAACTTTATAAAATTGGGGTTATTTAAAAGTGTGCATACCATTTTTGAGGTTATTTCGAATAGACAGAAAAAAATATTACAGTCAGTCCTTATAATTTAATTCTAAATTCCACTTGTAAGGAGTAAATCATGGGAAAAAAAGTTGATGACGTCACGGTCGCATGACAAAATTATGTGTATGATCTGATAGACAAAAAACGTTCAGCCAATCAGAAGACGTGTACATCCAAAATTAGATTATTTGTTTTTAATTAATCTTATTGAATATTTTATTTTATAAAAATTTAGCAATTTCCAAAGTAGATAATATATTTAGTATAAGTTAAATCAGTTAAATATCTTGAGTAAATACTAGAAGTTGGAAATGGATACAAAAAGTAATATGATAAAAAAAATGTTGACTTTTGAGAATAATACATGGAAACTGAATCCGTATCGCATACTGTATCACCCTCGACCAATATCAGCCAGAGGGCCGAACATACATTGGTTACTCGGGTTGATACAGCATGTGATACGGATTTTTCCATGTATTATTTATAGGTTTCATAACGAGTGAGAATTGGATATCGCTTGATATCAACTCGAGTTATTTAATTTCAATATAATAATAATCGAGCCTTCGGCGAGTTTATTATTACTATTTGAAATGAAATAACGAGAGTTGATATCAAGCAAATCCAATTTTCAAGAGTTATTAAACCTTTTTCTTTTATGGTCAACACTCTTATAGTGTTAAATTAAAAATTCCGCGAATCGTTGATCTAGTCCCTTACACATAACAGTATGACGTCATTTGTCCTTTTCCGGTTTCAGACTTTAACGTCAGACATTATAAAACTTTTTGTATACGCTTCAGAATGTAACAAAACTCGACAAAAAGAAGATTTTCAGGTGAAAAGTGTGAGTGTTTTGTATATTATTGGAGAAATCACTATGTCCGTTGCCATGGACGAAATGTACATCGTCTTAACCTTTGGAAGTTATCAATGACCTAACGAATAGCCAATGGAAATGTCGTAATATCGTCTAATGATGTTGGATAAGCCAATCAAATTAACGCAGTTTTCATATCACTTTTTCGTACCACACTCCGTGCAGTGTGATACGAAATATATCTCTTCAAGCAAGAAATAGCCATGATAACAGGCCACAACCATAAGAGAATCTCTATTTATCAATTCAATAGATAATACATTCACCCTCGGCCGTTGTCCTCGGCGAATATCATATCTCTGGGGTTGATAAAGAATTTTCTTTTATTCTTTGGCAATTTAACCCTTTCTGGATCCATTGTTTTATAAAAATTAATCATGCAACGTGTAGTTGCCAATGATCTCAGTAGATAATTGGTTAAGTTAAAAGGTCACACACAACATTTACCAGATCTTCGGCTGGATGAATCGAAATGTGCTAGCAGGTGTTAGAGAAGTTAACATATTTACATTTGTATGACTTAGAAATTCGGAAAGTGGAAGGCACTCCAAGGGGATTTTCGTTATCAAAACTGAAAATTTATTTGATAATCATTAGAGAAACAGATTCTTACATAGTTACTCGTAAATTATCGAATTTATCCCATCTCGATAGTTAAATAATCAAATGTTAAAGTCCTCGTCAAGGCTCGGACTTTAAAATTCGATAATTTTACTACTAAGTATCTCGATTGGATAAATCCGATAATCCACTTGTACCAAAGTAAGAATCTGTATAAGATAAGAATTTTATTAATCTAATCAAGAACCCATAAAGGGCATCATTTACAACAATATTAAGCACAATATGAAGTGTATATATCAACCTCATCAAAAGTCAATAATTGTATAATGTTTGACAGTGTTTTTTCCAATGAGCTTGTGCATGGTAGAACCCCTTCCAGAAGTTTTCGGAGCTTTTTCTGTCTTTAAAATATATACATTTTACCCGGAGGTTACACTTATTCAAGTGGCGAGTTGCACAAAACAAACACTTTTATTGGTGATTCATAAAACGATTTATGGTGTTAAACACTCAATAACAATGATTTTCTGGAAAAGTTATTCTAGATTTGGTGACACTTTTGGTGTAACATTTCATCCTTTTTTTTACAGTGTAGGGTTCTATGTAAATCTGTGACAGCTACATGTATATTGAATTAATTTTTTTAGCCCTTTGTTCTGCACTTTTTATCCATTATTTTCTATTCTCTATCCTGTTAACCCCATCTAGACCCTCATATATACACATAATTGAAATACCATTAAATATATATAATGTTCTAAAAGAATAATGAGCAATCTGGTTTCGGTTCGTTCTACGGCATTCATTCCCAAGAAATCGTATCACTATTGATAAAGTTGTAAAGTTGTGGTGTTCAATGTAACTATATAGTCACGAAATTATAAACAAAAAGGTAAAACAATAACAGTTGTTCATTTTCTACACTACAAAAGCCTCTTGTTAATTCTACAATTTCAACATCTTATTCTTTTATATAAACTCTTGCCCATTTGAAATATTTGTTCCCGTAAAACTTTTAATAGTCATATTTTCAGAGTAGAAAAAGGTTTATTGACGTACTCATCATAGATACAAGTATTAAAATAATGTACGCCAGACTCGTTTTTCGTCTACAAAAGACTCATCAGTGACGCTCGAATCAAAAGAGTTAAAAAGGCCAAATAAAGTACGAAGTCGAGCAATTAGAGAACTTTAATAGAAATTCAGTAAAATCTTAGAGTCCAAATGAAACTTAAGGCTACAGTACGGCACCCAACAATGAGCTAAACCCATACCGTACAGTCAGCTATAAAATGCACTGACATGAAAAAAGGAGTAATAATTCAAACGAAAAAAACAACGACCTGATTTATGGCAAAACAATAAACAAAAAACAAATATGACGGACAGCAACCAAAGACAACCACTGAATTACAGGCTCCTGCATGACTTAGGAAAGACAAATATAGAATGTGGCGGGGTTAAAAACATTTGTGAACGCTCAACCCTCTCCTTAACCCATGCAGGACAGTGGTATGACAGCTTAACATAGGAACAAACTGTAACTAACGTAAAGACAAAAGACATTAAGTGCCAATCTAGCGGTACTCACACAGTTACTGAAAACTAGTTCAAAGACAATTACTATTAATATAGTTCGACTTCTTTTTTGTTCACCTTTCTTAAAAAAACCATAGAGTATCCATATCAGAGACAGTATTTATAGTCAACACAAAAACAATACAACACAAATGTAAATTATAGATAAATAAGTAAATGAATAAGACAGCGTGATCTCCCTAAAAAATCCGTTAGTGAGACCATGTGCTCTGTATGGGTGGCGTAGTACCCTGAGAGAACCACCGAAATACGACAAGAAAACAAACAATTTCAGTCAATTAAGATCGGAGTCGAAGCAATTTGGGAATTCGAGCTCATCCTCAATGACAGGCTAGCGTTCACTATTGATGGACTAACTGGACAAAATAATTGATAAAATTCACTAAGTCTCATTAAAAGATGAATCTAGAATTTGGCAGTTGGAAAGAAAATTTCAAAGAAATTCGACTATTAGTAACTTGTGTTTTTGTTTTTTTATGAAAATAAGAAGATGGTTGTAAAGCTTCAAAGTTTCATTGGACCTATATTCGAAACTTGACCGACTCGTTGCAAAACGGACATAATGGCTTCTACACACAAAACTTGTTTATTGTGTAGAACAGCAATTGTCCATAGTGATGTCACAATATAGACTTTATTCAATAGATTATTGAATTGCTGTTGACTTTGCAACGGTTGAAATTTTTAAGACTATGCTAAAACTTGCTATAGTATCTGAGCATATGATGTAAAGCTCTAACATTCGCTTTTTCATATCATAAAAAGTATAGCTTTAAGGTCAAGGAACAGTAAATAGGCTGTGTCACAGATTTTGCTTAAATTTTGCATACAACCTTGACTCGTTGAACTATAACTGAAAATCGAAAAAATAATGCATTTATCTCTTATTATCTGATCTGAAATATTCGATAAATGCATTATTTTTTCGATTTTCAGTTATAGGTCAACGAGCCAAAGTTATATGCAAAATTTAAGCAAAATCTGTGACATAGCCCATTTACTGTAACTTGACCTTAACAGAAATAGGATCATGCATCTGACAAGACAACTTAACGTGTAAAAACAGGGGAAGACATATTATTCAAAGTAAAAGAACAATGTCCTCTTTGTTTTATTGTGTTGTTGCTTATCTATCCAATATATTTGCCTGTATCAATCACCTCTTTGCATTCACAGGTGAAAGTAAAAAGCATTATCAAAATACTTTGAGTAGTCTTGTTACAACGTAAATGGTACGATACGCGTAAGAAGACATTTTTTTACTTCAACAGACTCATAGTTGAATCTACCTGGATTTGTTTTCATTACAAAATTGCAATCTTGACCTTTCATTAAAAAATAGATCGACCTCTCACGGATTTTGTGCAGACTTATATTTGTAACCTGAATAGACAAGTTTTACTTTGATCTGTGGTTATCTATAGAGGAGTGCAATCATAGATGAGTGTTCTGCACGTTGGTATATGAAAAGCATAGAATGAGAGGAGTAAACCAGTCCATTAAATTCGATGATGTTCATTGCACTGTCTGACTCCGCATCCTCAGAATGACACAAACTTGATTAAATACAAATAAATGTAATATTAATGCCGAATTTTCCTACACATCTAAACAAGATGGAGAAAACAGCATTTAGAAAACATTAAGTAAACATTGAATCAAAAGGGGGGGGGGGGGGTGGTAACAAAAAGGAATTATAACATACAAGCGAAGATGCAAATTTTTTTTTTTAT